AGAGAGAGACAGAGAGAGACAGAGAGAGAGATTTGTCAGATACTCTCCCTGCCCTGCCAAAGTCCATGACAGGAGTAAGGTGGGCTGGATGCTGTTATATAGTTTCTGCATGGGAGACTTGAAAGTTCACAACTTGATTGTAATTTTAGTAAATGTATTGTGTTTCTGATTATCTATTTGTAACTTTGTTGGACATGTATATTAATGTGTGCACAAAGAAAATGCTTTGTCAAATCATGATTTCTCCTTTAGGCTCCCAAAACATTTATTGTCATCATGTTAAAATTTAGTTGCTTATAAGACACCCTCCCCAGCCTTTTGCAGTTTTTTAAAGTGTAGAATGGCATGTCTTTCTGGATCTAGAATGACTAAGTGCTCATTAAATACTAGACAAACCATATTTGCTTGTCGTCATTCAGTAAGTATTGATTTCCTGCTTAGTGCAAAGTATGGTATGAAGTTGTGGGGAAAAAATGTTAACAAGGCAGGCATGAACCCCTGGTCGTGGGACTTACAGAGCACTGTGGGGGAAATACAAAATAAAACTTTACAAACAGAAAGCATTCAGAGTATGATAAGGGCTACATGAAAAAGCAGAACAATAGAGCCAGATTATCCAGAGGGAGGGTGTTTACTGAGTACAAATGGAAACCTTCCAGTAGCCATCAGTATCATAAACTGAATTTCAACAGGCAGCCAGATTTTTTTTGCAGTTTAAAAATACTTTTATAATTTATGAAAATCTATTTATGAAATTTGTAGAATTTGTAGGTTTTCTATTACATCAGAATAAAATCTCAGCTCTTCACCCTTGTTTGACACTTCAGACTTCATTTTATCCAGTTCTTCCATCTGGTTTACTCCCGTCCTTCTTTTGTTCTCTTAGGTACCTGAACAAGACAAACCTTCCTGCCTCGTTCTCAATTTTCTTGGACTATTCTTCCTGCTCTTAATATACCTGGTTGCCTCTTTGGCCAAGTTTGCTATAAAAGCTCCTTCAGTCTATTTAAAATGTCTACTTCTGACTATTTTCTGACCCAACACCTTGTTTACCTTATAATGTCAATCATATTGTGTAATGTTATTGTTTGTTTACCAATTTTTATTTATCTACTGGATGTAGCAGCTAGGACCATGTCTGTGTTGTTCATTGCATTCCCGTATTAGCAGAATGCATTGTAAACTTCGAATCTTTTCTTATAAACACTGTTTTGATTGATAAGTTTCTAGGCTAGACAGCAGTTATTTAAGTTTTTTACTTTGTTGACTTTTGAGGGTTTTGTGTTATATTACATTTTAGTTTCTTATACTGTAATAAGAAAAGACACTTCTGCATACCCCTTTGGGCTTAGATCTGACTCCATAGGAACGTCTCAAGCAGTTAGAATGATTTTCTTAATATTTGTTCTGCCTTTTCATACTTTCATCCTCACATCCTTTCTTTGCCTGAGCTCCCTTGTGGCTGTCTGTTCTCTTGGCATACATTTGCTTTTCATTTGCTAAAATTCAAATGTTCCTGGTTTTGTTTGTTTGTTTGTTTGGTTGGTTGGTTGGGTTGTTTTGTTTTGTTTGTTTTTCATGGCAGTAACTATCCCATGGGATGGAGGAAGGTAAAGTGGAGATGGACTTAGGGCCATGTCAGCAACCTCTCAGGCTGTTGGCATGTACCAAAAGTAAAGGGGCCCTCTGTGTGTCAGGGACTATCTGTGCCTGAGTTTATATTTACAGCGTTGCTAGTAGCTTTCCATAGCAATGTTGCTAGATTGAAATGTTGACTAGGAAATCTTCAAAAACTCTTGTGTCTCTTTTGTGACTTTATAATGACCAGATCAAAAGTTGATTGTCAAAATGTAGATTTTTTTTTTTTTTTTTAAAGAGCAACAAAAGGTTAAAAGAAATTAGGTCATGAGGGGAAAAACTCAGAAGGAAAAAACTCAGTTGGTCAGCTAGACCTGCCAAATGCTCAAACTTAAAACCATTAGGGTCAGTTGCTTGTAGCAGTTCAGTTCCCAAAACAGGCTAGTACCTGTATGTATCACTTTTGTGAAAGAAGAGAGAGAGGTGGGGCAGGGGGGGGGAGGAAAAAAGGAAGGAAAAGAAAGAGTAGAAGACTGGAACACACAGAGCCAACAAAATAAAAATGGAGTTGATTAAACTTTTATTGCTCTCTCAAGTGAAATTCTATAAGAGCTGATTATAGGTTGCCAGAAATAAAATGTATCATTCAGTTGAGCTATAGAAAAATTGGCTACAAGAGCCAGACATGTGGCATATGCCTATACTACCAGCACTGAGGAAGCTGAAGCTGGAGGAGTGAAAGTTCCAGGCTAGCCTGGTCTACATGAGACTCTGTCTCAAAAAATGAAGGAAAGAGTGAGAGAATAAAGAAATAAAAATTTGGGGGTTGAAGAGATGGTTCGTTGGTTAAGAGCACTTGCAGAAAACCTGGGTTCAGTTCCTAGTGTCCACATCAGGTAGCTCACAATGTCCTGTAACTCCAGGACCACCACCCTCTTCTGCTCTTTGTGGGCACCTGCATGTATGTGGTGTGCATGCATACATTCAGGTGCATGTACCTACCCATAAAATAAATAAATCTTTTAAAAAAATTTGGCTACTATAAAGCTAAGTATTTTGATGATTATTAGCCTTTCTTGATCTAAAGTGATACTATCAATAGTTTGTTTAATGCTTTATATAAACATTGCTATTTCACAGCGCTAAAGTTGCTTAAATTGTAGCTCTGATTATTCTTTAGGTCTTTGGAGATTTACTTAAGAAAGTTAGCTTGACTGCAATGACTATTTTCTGAACCAAAGGTTGAGGTACATGATTGACAGAGAATTTGGATACTACTTTAGGACATATATGACATTAAAA